CTTGGGTTTTGGGTCGCTCCTCTTAAAGTAGTCAGGATTTATTGGTAATCCCCCTTAGTATGTATGCGGGAGGCATTTGACAGTTTGGGCCCTGGCATTACTGTGTTGTCTCCAGTGTACTCGTGGTGCCCCTGCTGTTCATTGGGAGGATTATTGCATCGCCTGCCGAATCTTTTACTTTCGTTGGGAGTGATTTTCGTGAGCAGACTTGGACTGCTCCTCTAGAATTTTTCAAGTGTTTATTATGTATCTTTCTCTCCTGCGTTCCAGGGAATACAAATCAAGGGACTTCACCGTTCCATATTTAGGTGTTTTATCGGCTGTGAAGGTTGATCGAGGAACAGGGGCAAGTACGGATCCAAATCTTTGATCAAGAGCCCCTCCCCTTGAGTATCCTCGGTTGTAGGACTGATGATAGTCCTCCCAGACTCTGGTGTGCTGGTCACGTTACTGATGTGATGGCTTCCCGGGTACCTGACATTTATCATAGTAACTTACTTAACTTAAGGTTACTGAACCTCACCTCTGTACGAGGGTGTGGTCGTGGTGTAGGTGATGGTGGTGATGGTGGTGATGGTGGTGATGTGGTGATGGTGGTGATGGTGTGGTGGTGATGGTGGTGATGGTGATGATGGTGATGATGGTGGTGGTGATGGTGGTGATGGTGGTGGTGATGATGGTGGTGATGGTGGTGGTGATGGTGGTGGTGTGGATGTGGTGATGGTGGTGGTGATGGTGGTGGTGATGATGGTGGTGATGTGGTGGTGATGGTGGTGGTGATGGTGTATGGTGGTGATGTTGGTGGTGATGGTGGTGGTGATGATGGTGGTGATGGTGGTGGTGATGGTTGGTGATGGTGGTGATGTTGGTGGTGATGGTGGTGGTGTGATGGTGGTGATGGTGGTGATGATAGTGGTGATGGTAGTGGTGGTGATGGTGGTGATGGTGATGGTAATGATAGTGGTGATGGTGGTGATGATAGTGGTGATGGTAGTGGTGGTGATGGTGGTGATGGTGATGGTGGTAGTGATGATGGTGGTGATGGTGGATGGTGATGGTGATGGATGGTGATGGTGGTGATGGTGGTGATGGTGATGGTGATGGTGGTGATGGTGGTGGTGATGGTGGTGATGATGGTGGTGGTGATGGTGGTGATGGTAGTGGTGAGATAGTGGTGATGATGGTGATGATGGTGATGATAGTGGTGATGGTAGTGGTGGTGATGGTGGTGGTGGTGTGTGGTGGTGGTGGTGGTGGTGGTGATGGTGGTGGTGGTGATGGTGGTGTTGGTGGTGATGGTGGTGATGGTGATGGTGATGGTGGTGGTGATGGTGGTGATGGTGGTGATGGTGGTGATGGTGATGGTGGAGGTGGATGGTGGTGATGGTGGTGGTGATGGTGGTGATGGTGGTGGTGATGGTGGTGATGGTGATGGTGATGGTGGTGGTGATGGTGGTGATGGTGGTGATGGTGGTGATGGTGGTGATGGTGGTGATGGTGATGATGGTGATGGTGGTGATGGTAGAGATGATGACAGTGATGGTAGTGGTGGTGATGGTGATAGTAGTGGTGGTGATGGTAATGGGGATGGTGATGGTGGTGATGGTGATGGTGATGGTGGTGATGGTGATGGTGGTGGTGATGGTGGTGGTGATGGTGGTGATGGTGATGGTGATGGTGGTGGTGATGGTGGTGATGGTGGTGGTGATGGTGGTGATGGTGATGGTGGTGATGGTGGTGATGGTGGTGGTGATGGTGGTGATGGTGGTGATGGTGGTGGTGATGGTGGTGGTGATTGGTGGTGATGGTGATGGTGGTGATGGTGGTGGTGATGGTGGTGATGGTGGTGATGGTGGTGATGGTGATGGTGGTGATGGTAGAGATGATGATAGTGATGGTAGTGGTGATGATGGTAGTGGTGGTGATGGTGATGGTAGTTGTGTGATGGTAGTGGTAGTGGTTGGTGATGGTAGTGGTGATGATAGTGATGGTAGTGGTGATGATGGTGATGGTAGTGGTGATGATGGTAGTGGTGGGTGATTGGTGATGGTAGTTGTGGTGATGGTAGTGGTAGTGGTGGTGATGGTAGTGGTGATGATAGTGATGGTAGTGGTGATGAGAGTGGTGATGATGGTGATGTAGTGGTGATGGTATGGTGATGATAGTGATGGTAGCGGTGATGATAGTGTTTAGTGGTGATGGTGATGGTTGTGGTGATGATAGTGGTGATGATGGTGGATAGTAGTGGTAATGGTGATGGAGTGGTGATGATAGTGGTGATGATGGTGATGGTTAGTGGTAGTGGTGGTGATGGTAGTGGTGCTGATAGTGATGGTAGTGGTGATGATGGTGATGTAGTGGTGATGATATGTGGTGATGATGGTGATGATAGTGGTGATGGTAGTGGTGATGATAGTGGATGGTAGCGGTGATGATAGTGATGGTAGTGGTGATGGTAGTGGTGATGGTGATGGTTGTGGTGATGATAGTGGTGATGATGGTGATAGTAGTGGTAATGGTGATGGTGTGGTGATGATAGTGGTGATGATGGTGATGGTAGTGGTGGTGATGGTGTGTAGTGGTGAGTTAGTGATGGTAGTGGTAATGATGATGATGGTAGTGGTGATGATAGTGTGGTAGTGGTGATGATGATGATGGTAGTGGTGATGATAGTGATGGTAGTGGTGATGATGGTGATGGTTAGTGGTGATGATAGTGATGGTAGTGGTGATGATGGTGGTGGTAGTGGTGATGTGATGGTAGTGGTGATGATGATGATGGTAGTGGTGATGATAGTGATGGTAGTGGTGGTGATGGTGATTGTGTGGTGAAGTTAGTGATGGTAGTGGTGATGATAGTGATGGTAGTGGTGATGATAGTGATGATAGTGGTGATGATAGTGATGGTAGTGGTGATGTTGGTGATGGTAGTGGTGATGATAGTGATGATAGTGGTGATGATGAGTGATGATAGTGGTGATGATGGTGGTGGTAGTGGTGATAGTGATGGTAGTGGTGATGATACTGATGGTAGTGTGTGATGATGGTAGTGGTGATAATAGTGATGGTAGTGATGATGATGGTAGTGATGATATAGTGATGGTAGTGATGATGTAGTGATGATAGTGGTGATGATGGTAGTGGTGTGGTGATGGTAGTGGTGATAATAGTGATGGTAGTGGTGATGATGGTGATAGTAGTGGTGATGATAGTGGTGATGGTGGTGGTAGTGGTGATACTGATGGTAGTGGTGATGATGATGGTAGTGGTGATAATAGTGATGGTAGTGGTGATGATAGTGATTTAGTGGTGATGATGGTAGCGGTGATAATAGTGATGGTAGTGGTGATAATAGTGATGGTAGTGGTGATGATGGTAGCGGTGATAATAGTGATGGTAGTGGTGATAATGTGATGGTAGTGGTGATAATAGTGATGGTAGTGGTGATGATGGTAGCGGTGTAATTAGTGATGGTAGTGGTGATAATAGTGATGGTAGTGGTGATGATG